GGTAACAACCTGGAGCTGAACGCTCAGAAGACAGTGGAGATGATTGTGGACTTCAGGAAGAGCACTGTCCCCCCGCCCCCACCCTCCGTGATGGACTCCCCCATCACCTCTGTGGAGTCCTTCCGTTTCCTGGGCACCACCATCACCCAGGACCTCAAGTGGGAGCCAACCATCAGCTCCCTCATCAAGAAGGCCCAGCAGAGGATGTACTTCCTGCGGCAGCTCAGGAAAGCCAAGCTGCCTGCACAGATGTTGGTGCAGTTCTACACGGCCATCATCGAGTTCATCCTCACCCCCTCCGTCACCGTGTGGTTCGCTGGAGCCACAGTCAGGGACAAACAGAGACTACAGCGCATTGTGCGCTCTGCAGAGGAAGTGATCGGCCGCAGCCTTCCATCTCTGCAGGACATGTACGTCGCCCGAGCTCGAGGCCGGGCTGGTGGTATCACAGCCGACCCCTCTCACCCTGCACATGGACTATTCCAACCACTCCCCTCAGGCAGGAGGCTGCGGTCCATCAGGACTAGAACCTCCCGCCACAAGAACAGTTTCTTCCCCCCTGCTGTTGGACTCTTGAACACTTCTTAAAGTCACTTTACTGCCCATCATACGTCACTTTACTTCACTGTACTGCTGTCACCTTACATTGTGTGCACCATGTGCACTTTTATATTGTAAATAGTAACTGTAACTCTATTTTAAAGTGTAGAGTTACAGTTGTTTAGAAGTGTTTTTTATTCTTTATTATTTTTATTCCTGTTACTTACGTGGCAATACAAATTATTCTGATTCTGATCTGATTCATCTACACATGTATATCTATACGTGAAATTTGTCCGAGCAAAAGAGGACCTGCTCATTGCACATTTAGCTAAGAGCTAACAATGACATGACTGTGTTTCTTTTTCCTACATAAACTTTACTGTACACATAGATAGACATAGATAGCTACTTTATTGATACCCCGTAGGAGACATTCAGGAATTTCAGAAATTGCACTTCTGTTTGAGATTTTAAGGTGGCACATGGCTTTAATAATCTTTATAGATCTAATGTTCAGTAAGTTTAAGCTTGTTTCCTCCATGGAATCAGCCGTGTATCCAAATGTATACCACCACCATTATTCATTTAAACCGCCCCACATATTCAGTAGTATTTGATAACCGTCCAGTGCTGAGCGCATGACTGCATTCACATTCATTCTAATCCAACACTTGGGACTGCTGTAATCATAATAATATATTTGGCCCAGAGTCTATTATTTGTCTCCATTTGGAGGTGCGTTCAAGGTCAGCTCTTGATTCAAACTTTCTCTGAGCTAAAGGCTGCTTTATTCACTTTATTCAATGAACTATACTGTTTACTCAATACACAACTATACTGTCCACATTAATAGAACATATTATATCTTTGAAAAACCAAAACCTTTACAGAAACAAATTATTTAAAATGAGATTACAGGAATATGATCAGGATTTTGATTATCAGGATTATATCTAGTTTTACTGAATCCATCACCATAAAATACATTTGTCAAGCTCAATAAAAAATGTTCTTTCATAAAGTAAGGCTACATGTATTTTATTTGTATTAATTACCTAACTGTCAGGGACAATAAGGACAATGCATCTGTGAATAGTTATAGTAGAACAGACTATTTGATTGATTTGACACATTTTGCAAAGCTGTGTGTAATTCTAATTGTCAGCACATACTTTTGTACAACAGTTCATTAAACACAGTGTTGATAGGATTCATAGTCTACTTGGTATAGTTCTATTGTTGAAATATGTATTGGGTTCATTAGCATGATTAGACACGGATTGGATATGGGTTGGTGATTTGGGTGGGCGGCAGTAGCTCAGTTGGTAGAGCGTTGGCCTTTGAGCCAGAAGGTCGTGGGTTCAAGCCCCGCTCAAGACTTTCACCATCGACTCCCACTGACTACTGTCGTTGTGTCCTTGGCAAGACACTTAACCTCTGGGAACACCAGCCACAGTGGGGCGGCTGCGGCTGTAAAGTGCCAAACTGCCGTTGTGCCCTTAGGCAAGACACTTCACCCCCATTGCCTAGAATGAGTCTGGTGTGTGTGTGAATGGTTGGTGGTGGTCGGAGGGGCCGATGGCACATACTGGTTGCCTCGCTTCTGTCAGTGTGCCCCAGGGCAGCTGTGGCTACATTAGTAGTTTATCACCACCGTGTATGGAGTGAATGAATAATGACACATGTGAAGCGTCTTTGAGTGTCCAAAAAAGCGCTATATAAAACCGATGCATTATTATTATTATTTGACCCCAACAGAAATACTATGTACGGAGGAGAGAAGTGACTAGAGATTATCCCCAGGGTAGTGACACTGATGAGGTGGTGATGGGGAGGAGGTGGGTTGCTGTATGAGACTGTGAGGTACTGATTAAATGCAGCCAGCGAAGGTGATACTTGCTGAGCTCTGGCACATGTGTAGAGGGACTGTGCATGTGTGGCAGTCTTCCAGTTGTCTTTGCTCCACGATACTGCTTTGTTTTAAGATTTGAAGATAACAAAAATGTATAGTGACAATAACTATTCTATCCAGGCCTTTCTCCTGAGCTTGATCCAGATGTTTAGATTGTAGAATCAGTATAGTATATAACAACCCCGGAATGGAACCAGCAAACTAGAACCAGGAAGTATGATCTTACTAGTCCTGTTCTCGCTGCACTGGCTTCCTGTGGCTCAAGTATTTAATATCTATTCTAATTAAACTATAGATCCTGTTTGATGTGTGCAATCTGAGTGTTCTTATTTCCTCTTTTTACTCTGATGTAAAATGCACAACGATGACATTGAAATGTTCCTACTGTGGGACAAATAAAGGATTATCTTATCTTATCTTATAAACAATAAAAAAAATTAAAAAAAACGTAAACAACCCAGAGCCGTTATACAATCTAATGAATTTGGGTTCACTCATTAGTAAATGTGACACAAAGATCACAGAGCATGTCACTGATACCACCTGCAGCGCTCTGAACCGTCTGCACTGAAGGAAGAAATTACCAGACATTAAAATGACAAGAATAAACAAGAAGTATCAACCTCAGATATTGAACAAATGAAGTCATTATAAATATGTGTATCTCAAGGCTTCTCTTTGCTCTTCTTTACGTCTTATACACCTCTGATCTATGAAACAATCTAGTTTGACTAAGCACATAACAGACCTTTGATACAGAGATTGCCGAAAAAACATGTTTTCTATCTATTAGCTGACCTTACCAGCACACAGCAACAGATAATATATAGTATAGACTTTATTTGTCACTATGCACATGCATAATGAAATTAAAAGCAACTCCACCAGTGCAGGAATGTACACACAGAATAAGTTAATACGCAGACACAGAAATTATTAGAGACATTAAAGTGCACAGTTGCATCTATTGCTCAGGAGTTATAAATATAATATAAAAGATATAAAATTCAGTGCATATGAGAATTCAATAGTGTCACAGCTTTTGGAAAAAAGCTGTTTTTCAGTCTATTTGTCCTTGCTCTGATGCACCTGTACCGCCTCCCTGAGGGTAACAGGTCAAACAGAGAGATTCCAGGGTGAGAGCTGTCTTTAATGATGTTCTCTGCTCTGCTGAGGCAGCGGCTGGTGTAAATGTCCATCAGAGAAGGCAGAGAGCAGCCAATGATCTTCTGTGCTGTCCTCACCACTCTCTGCAGCCTCTCTCTGTCAGCCACAGTGCAGCTTCCGTACCACACTGTGATACAGTAAGTCATCAGGCTCTCGATGGCTGAGCGATAGAAGGTCAGCAGCAGACTAGAGTCTAAATTGTACTTCCCGAGTACCCTCAGAAAGTGTAGCCGCTGCTGAGATTTTTTTATTATTGCTGAGATGTTTTCAGACCAGGAAATATCAGCGGTGATGAGGACCCCGAGAAACTTAAAGCTATGGACCCTCTCCACACACTCACCGTTGATGTAAAGAGGGGCCAAGTCTGTGTTGTTCTTCCTGAAGTTAACAATGATCTCTTTGGTTTTCTTAGTGTTAAGAGATAAATTGTTCTCTGCACACCAAGCTGTCAACTTCAGGACCTCCTCCCTGTAGGCTGCCTCATCACCCTTTGAAATGAGACCAACCACTGTGGTATCGTCAGCAAATTTAACGATAAGGTTGTTGCTGTGGGTTGGCCTACAGTCATGGGTATAGAGGCAGTACAGGAGTGGGCTCAACACACAGCCCTGGGGTGAGCCTGTGCTCAGTGTTCGGGTGGAGGAGAGGAGACGAGGACCAAGACGCACAGTCTGAGGCCTGTTGATCAAAAAATTTTTAATCCAGGCACATGTGATGGATGGAAGACCTAGCGTGCTCAGTTTAGTGGTGAGGATGTCCGGAATGATTGTATTGAACGCCGAGCTGTAGTCCACAAACAGCATGCGGATGTAACTGTGCTGCTGCTCTAGATGACTCAGTGCAGAGTGGAGAGCTACAGCGATGGCGTCCTCTGTTGACCTGTTCGCCCGATACGCGAACTGGAAAGGGTCGAAATTGACTGGGAGAAGGTCTCTGATGTACTGCAAGACCAGCCTTTCAAAGCACTTCATGATTACCGGAGTGAGAGCCACAGGGCGGTAGTCATTAAGGCTAGTGATGGGAGACTTCTTTGGGATAGGAATGATTGTGGCTGATTTCAGGCAGGAGGGGATGGACGCTTGAGCCAGAGAGAGATTGAAGAGCTTTGTGAAGATGGAGGCGAGCTGGAAAGCACATGCTTTGAGCACCTTGCCCGGTACTCCGTCAGGGCCCGTGGCCTTCCTGGGGTTCACGGATAGAAGCACCCTTCTAACCTCGTGCTCCTGAACAGTGAAAGGGGAAGTGTCAGAGCGGTGTAAAGGTGGGAGCAGGGCTGGAGTAACACAGCGACCCAATGGTGGTGAGTTCAGGCCAGGAGCAGATGGGGGGTTATCAAAACGAGCAAAGAAGCAATTAAGCTCCTCTGCTAGTGTCGCGCTCAGTCCTGTAGCTGTAGCACTGCAGCCTCTATAGTTGGTAATGTTTTGGATGCTCCTCCACATTTCTCTATGGTTGTTGCTGGACATGTGGGACTCTGTTCTCCTCTTATGATCTTTCTTAGCTCTTTTGATTCCCTTCTCCAGGTCAGCTCGAGCGGCACTGTATAGCGCTCTGTCGCCAGACCTGAAGGCAGCATCACGAGCTTGGAGAAGTGTGCGGACCTGTTTAGACATCCAGGGTTTCTGGTTTGGAAAAACCCGGATGGTTTTGTTCACTGTCACATTGCCCATGCAGAACTTGATATAGTCCAGCACTGCCTCTGTGAACATTTCCAGGTCTTGATGTTCAAATAGGTCCCAGTTCGTCTGTTCAAAACAATCCTGTAATTTGGAGAATGCGTCATCGGGCCAGATTGTGACAGACTTTATGGCAGGTCTGGCGCTGCGTCGTAGAGGTGTGTAGGCTGGAAAGAGCAGGAGGGACAGATGATCTGATTGCCCCAAGTGTGGGAGGGGAATAGCTCTGTATGCATGCTTAATGTTTGTATAGACATGATCCAAGGTGTTCTCCCCTCTAGTGGGACACTTTACATGTTGGTAAAATTCTGGGAGTACAGACTTCAAATTGGCTCTGTTAAAGTCTCCTGCGATCACGTGGACACCATCCGGGTGAGCGCGCTGTTGCTCACTCACAGTGTTCAGCAGGAGAGAGAGTGCCTTGTTTACATTGCCATCAGGTGGAATATACACGGCAATTAAAATCACAACTGTAAACTCTCTTGGTAGAAAATAAGGCCGACATTTAACAGACATGTACTCGAGATCTGGGGAGCAGTGATTGTCTATAATTGTCCCGTTGTTGCACCAGTTCTCATGTACATACATACAGAGCCCACCCCCTCTGCTCTTACCGGAGTTCTCAGTCCTGTCACAGCGGAGCAGAGTGCGTCCTGCTAGCTGCACACTAGCATCGGGTATCCCCGGGTGAAGCCACGACTCAGTGACGATCAAAACACAGCAGTCCCGTACATAGCTGCTCCCCGCAAGATGTAGTCCCAAGTCGTCCATTTTATGTACCAGTGATCTTGCATTGGAGAGATACAGGCTCGGTAGAGGTGGCTTATTTGGATGTTTCCTTAGCCTTTGCATGACACCGGACCGGCGGCCCCGCTTCTGCTTCCTCTCCCTCCTCCGCCTGCGCTGCCTCCCCGACCTGATAACAATCCACGGAGAGCCCGGCGGTCTGGCTATGTCGGTGGGGATGTTGTGTGCGTCATGAAAGTCACTCGAGACGCAGATCCGGTGCTGTACACCAATGTCCAAAAGGTTCTGACGGGTGTAGCTGATGCTCGCGGAGCAAATGGTGCACAGACAGATAAAGCATATGTACAGACAAGACAGAAGATAGCACTGGGAGGGAGAGCTGTGAGCCGCTGCACTCATGCGCGCCGCCATCTTAGCATGGAGGACCAAGTACAGGATTTTAATCAATATTTGATGATTAGTAAAAAATGTCTCAGAACACCACCCCCCCTCCCGCCCCCGGACCCCCGTTATCCTCCACTTTTACATACCTGCCATAACTGTGCATTGTTGTAGCTAACATACTCACTTACATCCTGCTACCTTGTTTCTGTTTTGCTAATATGTTTTTGCTAATCAACCCCCTGTGCCTGTTCGTCCTGCCAACTTCTACACTTTATTCTTTCTATTTTTCTGTGCATAGAACTGAAGAATTTTATCTTTTTTAACACACCTTGTTATTTATTATTGTAACTCTTTGTGTGTTTTTAATGGTTTTTAATTACTTGTATGATTTTAAAGTTTTTAATTACTTGTGTGATTTTAATTTTAAAATGTTTTTAATTACCTGTGTGTTTTTCATTTTAAAATGTTTTTAATTACCTGTGTGTTTTTCATTTTAAAATGTTTTTAATTACCTGTGTGTTTTTCATTTTATTTTTAATGGTGATGATTTGTGCCTTGTGTGGTGTGGACTGTGAGGCGCTTTGTCTTGCCCTGAGTAGGAAAAGCGCTCTGTAAATATAGACTGATTTATACGCTGCATTATTACAAACATGCTCAAAATATACTAACTTTTTTGTGTGTGACAATGACACAACTGGAGCTCCGATTTCCTCCGGGTGCTCCAGTTTCCCTTACCACTATAAGCATGTATAATAGTCTACCCAATCCATCCAGACCTGACTCGCGCCCTCTTTCTCGGGCCAGGTCAACAAATACAATAAAACTGCAGAATTTTCAATGTTACAACTTTTCCCTCAACTCCCTCACACTTCACTTCAGATAAACTTATAAACACACGTCCAACTCGAGCGAAATAAACTCATTAAGGACAACAACCTCATTACCATACTTGTCATTTTACCACCTCTGTCTCTCCAACTTTTTTTTTCTTTCTCCAAAACCCAAAACTAATAATTGATGAGGCTCTTAAAATCTCGTTAGCGCATAGTTAGGAGTTGTTTTAGCGCGGCAGGACAGTCAGGGTGTTGATCCAGGGGCATGGGGCCGTGCTTTGTGCTGGCTTTATGGTCCCTTTATGGTCCTCGAGGAGACACCTGCATGGGCGATATGTTCCCGGGGACATTTTTCAGCGCACGCTCTCTTGACTCCTTTGCTTTTGTATCATTAGCGGAGCAAGGGAGTCGTGAATCACTCGCCCCCTTATTCTCCCGCCTCGCCCCACCCCTTCCTTCTCTGCTGTTTGGTGCTAAAGACTTGACAGAAGGATGCCCGGGCCCCGCTGGCAGTAGCCCATCCACTGCAGGGGCCAAAAGCTGCCAGGAGCGCCGTGATGGATAGGCTCATTTTCCCCGCGGTTGCAAGTCTCGGCGAAGCATCCGTGTCATTTGTAATGTCAGCCAACAAAATGTAATCAAACATTCCAGCGGTTTAATCACACAGGGCTGCTCCAGAGATGATTGTGGTGTCAATATAATGCTATTTCATTATCTGTTTGTATTTTATATTGACAGTGTCAGATAAACAGTGTGGAAAATTAAGATTAAAAATATGGTAATTTCATTTCAATCACCGTGGCTACAGTTGCTGGCCCATTATGCGATTGATTACTTCTGAATTAAATTTGGGGCTGAATGTAAAGTTTAATCTTCTTTCTTCTCCGCAATTCAGCTCCCCAAAGGCCTCTTAGTAAAGTAAGTACCCATTTCATTTGATCTTTAATGAAAAGTAATGGCCCAAATGAATTGTATAAATCAGCGGCTGTGTGTACCGCGCTGACATCAGGCCTTTCACTTTAAATCCGGATCTCACATTCAGGAGGTTATTAGGAAGCTGTCCGGGAGACTTTGTTTCATCTTTCATGGATTCTGACGCAACAAAAACTTTAGTCAATTGCTATATTTTGTCAAGCTGTGTATCAATGTTCATTTGCAGTGAATGAAAAGTTCTATAATAAAAGAAAGATGTGTAGCTACATATTGAAATTGTACTGTAAGTATTTTTTACACATGGTGGAGCAAGGGCAAAGGGTGTTGCTTGATTGTGTATTTATATTTATATATTTGTACATGACATTATATAATGTAAGCACAGTATAGGAAATATGTACAGAAGAATGTAAATATTGTAAATACTGTAAAATGTCTGCTCAAATAAATAAAAATAAATAATGATAATAATAATAATACAATACAATCAAACTTACAACGCTATTTGGACACTTAAAAAAATAAAAATAAAATAATAGAAAATAAATTAAAAATGTGGTTTATGGGAAAACATGTTTGAACAAATGTTTTTGAGCACTGATTTATAGTTTGGTAGTGAATCAGAATGTCTAATGGGCAGTGAGAGTGAGTTCCAGAGGATTGTTTAAATGCTGGTCTGCTGCCTTTGCTTATAATATTCAACATAGAAATAGACTACTTGTTTTAGCCACAAAAAGAAGCACAGAGCCATAAGAAAGGTGGTCTGTGGAAAAGCCGGCTCATTGTAAGAATGTTTTTTATTTTTCTAACCAAGACATTATTGAGCAAAAACAATAACGGCAAGTTTCTATTTGTTCATACACACAATTTCAATCTGCCAATTAGGTTAAAAACAATACATTTAACAATTCAAATAAATCCGTCATTCTTTTACTACCCTCTTCTACCATCAGGGGAAACAGTTTATGGTTTAATAAATGATATATGACCAAAGGAGACAAAATGTAATCTAAAAACTTTTCACTAAGTAGATAAATAAGTAAGGCTCATTTCCATTGAGTAAAAACACAGGCATGACTCGGATTTAAAAAGTGAAAAAGGTCATAAAACTAACCATAAGTCAGAAGAGAGACAGGACTTGTAACAAGTGAAGCTCTTTCCTATCGGAGTTTGGGCTGTTGCATGTGCTGCTCTTTCTTTTATAAAGTTGCCCTCGTAAAGAAAAATGTATGGAACTTTTTGTATTGGCCCACATGAATGATAAAATTGCTGTAATCTTTTATAATGTTATTCCCTGCAGGTCTTGGGTGACTTTAGAAGACTTTTTGTTCAAGTCTGAAATTTCCTGTATTCCCAATGGTGAAAAGCTAATACTGGTCCAAACACACCAAAGGCTTGAAAACACCTAATGACTGAATTAGCCAAGGCAAGTTTATTTGTATAGCACAGTTCATACACAAGGCAACTCAACGTGCTCCACGAACAATATAGAAACAAACACATTAGGCATTATAATCGTAAATAATCACAGCACATTAAAAAAAGAGTAAAGATACAATTCTATAGAACAGTTTTTAACCTGGATTTGAACATCGTAAGAGAGGAAGCCTGTCTCACATTTTTAGGAAGACTGTTTCATATTTTAGCTGCAAAAAATGTGGGGCGACAGTGGCTCAGTTGGTAGAGCATTGGCCTTTGGGTCTGAAGGTCGTGGGTTCGATTTCCCCACGAGACCTACACCAAATTCTCCCACTGATGTCTGCTGATGTTGTGTCCTAGGGCAAGACACTTGGGCAACCCCACTGCGCCCAAAGCCACCGCTGAAAGCACAATGCTGTGTCCCCTGACCCAGAAATGGACTAAAAAGGGGTTGAAAATGAATGAATGAAATCTGAAACGCTGCTTCCTTTTTGTAATTTATATTTTATTGGTTTTCTTTTGCAATAATAAATTAATCAATACGCATTTTACAGACAGTATGACCGCAGTTATTTAGAAAAGAAATAAATAATAATAATAATAATAATGAAATAAAATAAGATGCCATGAGGGGAGAAAATAAGCAAAAATAAATATAACCTTAATAATAATAATAATACAAAATAGTAAAAAAATAAGAGAAAAAAACAGGATATAAAATAAACAATAAATAAATAACAAACATAAAGAAAAAGAGAAAAAAAAATAGAAAACACAAAAATGTATATAATAAGAAATAATTATGATGAAGAAGGGAGCGGGGCAACACAATTAGCTTTGTAACATTAATGCCATGTCAGAGCTCTTCAAAGTCCTTTACCACCAGCAGGAGGCCAGTCCCTGTGGTCCTCAGAGTCCTAGTTGGTTGATATGACACCAACATGTCTTGGATGATATTTGGTGCAAGGCCAAGGGAAAAACCCCAAACTTAAAAGACATACAGTAGTATGAAAATATGAGAACATTTATGGACAAACGGGAGGAGTGGGACTAACACTATCCATCATGGCATTTTCAAACCCATCTCCAGAGATTTCCCTTTTGCCGCAGCTGTGCATAAACTTTCCCCACTTTTACATAGTTGCTCATACTTCTGCACAGCGCAAAATAAGTGTCAGGTTGAGTGCCACGCAAGGTGCTCAGAAATTAAGAAGGTTATTTAGCCAGCCTCCAGTGCCACTACACGCAGCCAAGCCCTAAGCCAGCCCAGGGTGATAGACATTTTAATTACATGGTGCATTTTGATACTTCTCTGTGTCGCCGGGCACAAGTCTTAAGAATGTAGAGCTTGCGTGTTCGAGATTTGGCACTGCATCCACACTCCAACCCAACCCTCCCCTTTTCTCCTTTCCCAGTTTTGAGCGGCTATATCCAAAAGTGACACAACTGTTAACTAGGGCTCCTCTGAAAAGCAAAGGGGGAGACATCTCATTGTGAGTGCCATTCAGTGCGATTTGTCCGCCTTTGTAGTACTAATTATATGCCAAAGTGGGATAACAGAACTTCTCAACTCGGCCATTATTCCCCGCACAAAAAACGCCACGCATACAAGGAGCTGATCACTTCGGAATTAGCAAACATGATACTATACGAGCGCGGTGGAAAAAATATTAATACCGTCGTGAGGGATTAGAGGTTTTGATTAAAGGGTAGCTTCCACCGTATGCAAATTAGTGATAGGCATTTATCAGCGCCTGGGCAAGCTGTCTTAGCAGGCAAAGCCACATATGTTTTTTAGCTGATTAAAAAACTGCTTGAAGTTGCAGGCTTTTTAATGGCGGC